AATCTGCACTTTGCACAGCCCGCTATAACACAACATTTTGGGTCCAATATTGGATATCCAGTACAGCTTTATTTCTGTATTCGTTAGAAACCTAACTTTCACACCTGCTGTCTTAAAGAAGCTGGCACTCTTCGTGCACAAACTTAGTGAACATCTCACTCGCCTCCAAATATCATCATTCCAGCAGTCCTAGGTTTACAGCGACGAGCAAAATAAATTTCCCACTCAGAGCAATTAATTATAGTGGCGGCCGTCCTGTTTTTCGGAAAATTGCTCCAACTCCTTTTTCGGCCGCAACTAGAGAATTTACCCCTAATTAGTCCCGTGCGCGACCGAAAGCGTCGCTGTGGTCAGCCCTCCACGATTGGCCGAACGCTGACTATGACGTCGGAAAGGGAGTTTATCATCGACGGAAATAAGAGGAATGAAAGAACTTTAATTTTGACGGTGTTGGCAGTGTTGCTTTGAGAAGGCTATGATTTCAAGCTTCCACCATGGTAATAACAAACACCATCGAACTTGTTGTTTGCAAGGTAATGACGTCACAAGGGGGAACCGTAGGAGGGCGCCACCAAAACATCTCGCCGCTAATAACGACTCAAACTCAATATATAAGAAGTCGAGAACAGCTAAATGCCCTTCTGCCCCAGCACTCATGCAACGTAACCCTCAACATATCGGCTCAAAAAGCAAAAGTTCCGTCCGTGCGCGCTTCCGCCGCCACAGCTTGGCATGCGAAAAGACGCCGCAGGCTGCTGAACGCACCTCACAGTCGGACGCCAGCTCCTCCGCTAGCGGCGCTGCGCGCGTTTTTCAAAGCGGCCCCTATAGTTCCCGCACGGAGTGTATAGTTCGAGGAGCGTTGTTTAGCACGCGGCGGCCAACCCTGCTGCCTTCCACGTTCATTCGCGCGCACTCCTTTGAAGTGAGAAATCTGGGTTTGCTTCGGCATTAAAACAAAGCGAGATTCACTTCTCTCTTCTCCTCTTGCGCTTTGCTCCGACTCTTGTATTTTATACAGCATTTATACGTGTAAGTCCGCCTTTTCCTTGGTCTTAGTTCCGATGCTTGTTTTCTGTGTTATATATTTTACATTCTGTAGGGTTAGGGTTGCAAGCAAGCTAGCGGATTCCCGTTCATTTCCTTTGACTTTAGTATCTGCATACTTTGTTTCACCTTGCGATGGACCGCTGCGGACGCAACGAGTCATCCCAGGCAATCCAGCACCGTGAGCTTATTAAAATCAGTGCTTTTTTTTTAAATATTTAGCTTTTTTTTTCTTTTTTTTTTGCAAATGTCTATATGTTTGATAATGTCAGCTTTCAACTGCTTATGCCGGCAACACAACAAGCTTGGGTAGTATCGTATTTCAGGAATACATTTCGTATCTGTATTTCTGTATCGCGCAATACATTTGCTCACCAGTATCTCTATTCCTCTATCAAATACATGTGGAATGTTTGTTTTTATCGCGATAATATCAAGATGACATATATTTCGTTACATTTCTTGAGGGATAACCCCCCCTCCCCCCTGAAAAACAAGATACAAGTCCTGTGCTTTTTTTTTGTTGCTTTTTTATTTTTGAGGGCATTAGGGCCAAGGAGATATTGGTGCAATGTTACTATGCTGAGCAAGGTTCATTCCGATTTTACAAATTATTTTTCTCTTCTCAGAAATGTTGCGTAGTCGGGACTCGAAACAGGTAGCGTACCAGGAGTTGAGTTGGAGCATCTTCTACCCCAGGTCCCTAGGTAGGGATTTCATGAGTCATTGTTGACTAGGCATTCAGTGCCCGCTTCTAGTTAGTTAGAGCCTTGAGAAATTGGAAATCAATGGAAGTGTTGCTTGGCCTGTGGCCGAGTAGCTGAGTCACAGTCCGCTGCAACACAAGTCTGGCGGTGGTTGACTTGAAATTGTAGGATGACTGAAGCAGTGAAATTCAACACATATCCAAATGCGTATGCGCCTGTAATATTGCACTGCTCAAGGGTATCGTCCTCAATCGACGTGAACGTGACCCGCTGCTCTGGTGATCCGATAACCAGGAAGGAGGCCAGACTTGGCCTCGCTGTGCCGACCCAGACTTCGTACACCTGCGACTTGCCTCGAGCGCGCTGTATCCCGGAGAGCTCGCACCTGTGCCGGTCATCTCAGGTCGCAATCCACAGGTTCTGTTTGGATGATGCTAGGCGAAATTTGAGGACTGCCATTCGTGCGTTGGAGGCGGAGGGTCGGCAGGAAGGACCGTCACAACAGGGATGCCACCGTATCGATTTTTCAACCGTAACAAAAGGTGAGATGTGCTCCAGGATACTTCAGGTGGTCCACTATTCTCAAAAATTCCAAATGCAACTGCCTACATGATCTTCAACGAGATCACCTACAACGAAAATACGTATTGTTCTTTCATACAGCAGCGTGAGAAAAGTTTCATGTTCAAGGCAACACCTACAGGTACAAGAATACTAGTTCATTCCACCGTGACGTCATGGGATCAGTGTTGACAGGGGTGCCGTTATTGGACAGTTGAGTGGTGACGTTATGATGGATCCTTTCGCAACATTCGTCAGACAGACAGGATGCCAGGGAAGGGACCGCGGTCAATCCTTGGGAACGTTTTTTTGAACCCATTGAAGACTGCCCTCCGTTCAGAACCCTACCTTCAAGGCGAAGTGCCAAGCCTGCGGGATAGTAATTTTGGGATAAAAATCTTCCACTTCATACTTAATAAAGCCTCATCTCAGTTGGCGTCTCAAAGAAATTTGAAAATTGTATTGCATTATCAGTATTTCTGCCCTCTCTAAAATGTATTCATATATTTGTATTTCCAAAGACTTCTTACCACTTTTTAAAATGTATTTCCGATACGTATCGCGACGCATTTTTACAGATATGTTTGAGTATCAGTACTTTAGCTACTATTTTCATCTGTCCCAGTATTTGTATTTCCAAATACATTTTTTAGTATTTCTGCCCAACCCTGCAACACAATGTAGCTGTCAAATGCCTTTTTTTTACGTTTAGGAATTAGAGGAATGGAATGGAACGATTCAACCATTCCAGGAGTGCGAATGGGCCCAGTGTCCTCATTCCTGGGAGTTGAAAGGAATGGAATTATCGAAAGCTCTAATTCCCCGGAATGGAATTGGAATGGAATGGGGGTGCCCATTCCGCAACACTGGTAGTCATGCCTTAAAAATTTCTCTATGTTCCTCTTGCGGAGCAAAGCATCATAATGGCCTCAACTTTTTGACTCCAGGTATTGCGGGAGAAGCGACCGTCATTCTCGCAGGAGACGCGACGGGTGCGACGACATGCGGCGGCAGCTCACCGCGCATGCGCTTTTGGGCGTCGCCCGGGTTCCTCGGAAGCTCGCGCGCGCAGGCACTCCGTGGTCGGTTGTCGTGTCGTCTGCTTGTACATGGCCGCGTTGAAACCGCGCTTGCATTATAATAGATAAGATAACGCAATTACGCTCACGTCTTAGTGGCACACAATGTCCGAAGGTTCAAGAACCTTTGTTCTTGTCAGGCTTCAGTGCAATATTAAACATTACGCGAACGCTCAGTGAACAATATGTCCGGCCCCAAACCCGGTACCCTGCAAGGTCACTTTGCCGCAAGTACCGTAGTCGAATTTGTCACAAGTGACCCCTTCTCCGCCAATGAGGAGTTGGCGGAGAAAAAAAAGAAAAGTGATGCTCTGGCTCCGCCATTTAGTTACTATTAGCTATTCCCAGCCACGAACAGAAACAGACACCGACTGTCTTTCGTGAGTCCCCATCCGCTGGCGGTGCAGGTCATTCCATCGAATTCCTGGTTGCGTGTCGGAAGGCAGATGGGCATGAGTGCCTTCTCGCTTCCCGTGAAGTTGAGCGGTCTCGCCAGCTTCAGCAAGGCGTAATCATAGTTCACGGTGGAAGGGTTCCATTGCGGATGAATCGTGATCTGTGGCTCGACAAAACATGTCATGATTATTTTTGTTAATTAATCCGAATGCCAAAGCAAACAGCTCGCTACTTCGGGAATTTGATCCTCGCCCCTCTCTGTTGCGACGCCGAGAGGCATTGCACCGGTTTACGTTCAAAAGCGGGCGACTGTGATGGGTACATTAGGGTACATGTGGCACGAGCTCGTGGCATAAGTCGACGAAAACCAAAAACGTGGTGTTTTGTAACGTTTAGTTTGTTAAGATTAAAACCAAGAAATGTCTTTCACATATCATGGACACCCGGAATGAAAGTAAGAAAAAATATTTTTCAGGACCCCTTTAATACTTGAAGTTGCGGTTGGGGTGCTAACTTTTTTAATGGGAATATTTAACTTTCCTCTTGGGTTCTTAGGCTATCCTAGGGTGCCTTCATGTGCGCTTTGCTTAGGGTGGCGACATCTGGCCATTTTGTTCCCACTTTTACATTTATTTTTACTTCAGAAGCGCGTGAAAAAGCGTGTCCCTGCACGCGTCACTGGCGCTGACTGTGCTATGGCGACATTTTGTTTTCGTCGATTTCTTTGTATTTTTCCCCGTGAGCGCGTGCTGTCGGCATCGGCTACTACAAAGGGTGGCATCACTCTAAACAGAAGGACATTGAGGCACCCTAGGCAATCCGAGAAACGACAGCCTTCCATGAGATATTTGTGTTCAAGAGAAAAAACGCACATGAAATAATTAGAAGAAAACAATTTAACTAATTTTGTCAGAACCGATCATCAGCACCTTCTTGCAAATTGACGGCCATTGGGCTCTTTCCAGGTTAGATACATATGCGTAATCGCAAGTGATAAGGTTGTGCTTCTCGAAACAAATACGCGGACAAGGAGGTATACACGACGTTTCGGGCGGACGCACTTCTTCAAGTAATAGACGCGGAAGACGGCAAGAAACAGGCAGGGGTCGGACACGTCACAACGATAGGGGGGGAAGGCGAAACCGTTAGAAGACATGACGCCTTTTTCGCAAACCACCGTCCTAAAGACAAAAGGAACCCCTTTATAGTTATGTACCATCCTAAAGTCCCAAAACTAGCACATAAACTCCTCTCTGCAGCGTCTCATCTGCACATCTCCCAACTAATTTCCAAGGCTCCGTCCGTCGCTTACCTTCGTCCACCGAACCTCCGCACCCTTCTTGTCAAAAGTAGCCTGAAGGCGAAAACCAACAAAGACCCGGCTGGCATCATACCTGGCACCACGCCCTGTAATGCTCCTGAACGCCTGACTTGCAGGCACCTTGGCTCCCCGCAACACTTTAAATTCAAAATTCCGGACAACCAGACCTGCAAGTCAGCCAATGTCATTTACGCCATTTCCTGCACGAGCTGCCCCGACATTTTGTACATCGGAGAGACAGACCGACGGCCGCACGAACCATTCCGTGAGCACCGCCGTCTCGTCACCCGGAGATTGTCGGGAGACCTTCCTTCGGAACGATCCACACATGTAGTTGACCACTTCTCGACTTACGGCCATACGGAACTAAACATGCGCGTCTGTGTCATCAGATCAGGCTTCCCCTCCTTCCACGTGCGAAAGAGAGAGGAAAACCGTCTTATCTTCAACCTCAAAACAGAATTCCCCCGTGGCCTTAACACCAAACTTTCTTCCGTGTACTAAATTTCTGTATTAGTCTAAATGTGTTTTTTTTCTGGGCGTTTAAAAGTGAAATCCGTTTACAACTCCCTGTAACGCCGAATTAGAGCGCAGCTCTTGAGGAGGAGGAGGGAAGGGTATTGAGGTGCACGTGTTCTGGGGGGGGGGGGGGCACGTGACTGGGTGCGGTCCCGTGACCTTGGTGGTGTCACATGACCCCCTCCCCAAGCTCACGTGGGGGTCACGTGACCTGGGGGTGTCACGTGACCACGGGGGTCACGTGACCCCCCAGAGGAATTTTTCCGCTAGATTTAGTGGGGAAATTTTCCCGCTCGATTTAGCGGGGAAATTTTTTCCGCTAGATTTAGCGGGAAATTCTTTCGCTAGATTTAGCGGAAAAAGTTTCCGCTAGATTTATCGAAGAAATTTTTCGGCTAGATTTAGCGGGGAAAATTTTCCGCTAGATTTAGCGGGGCAATTTTTTCCGCTAGATTTAGCGGGAAAATTTTTCCGCTACATTTAGCGGGAAATATTTTCCGCTAGATTTAGCGGGGAAATTTTTCCGCTCGATGTAGCGGGGAAATTTTTTCCGCTAGATTTAGAGGGGAAATTTTCCCCTAGATGTTGAGGGGGAATTTTCACGTTAGATTTAGCGGGAAACTTTTTCCGCTAGATTTAGCGGGGAAATTTTTTCCGATAGTTTTAGCGGAGAAATGTTTCCGCTAGATATAGCGGGAAGCTTTTTCCGCTCGATTTAGCGGGGAACTTTTTTCCGCTAGATTTAGAGGGGAAATCTTTTCGCTAGATTTAGCGGGGGAATTTTCACGCTAGATTTAGCGGGAAACTTTTTCCTCTGGATTTAGCGGGGAAATTTTTTCGCTAGATTAAGCGGGAAAATTTTTCCGCTATATTTAGCGGGGAAATATTTTCCGCTAGATTTAGCGGAGAAATTTTTCCGCTAGATATAGCGGGAAACCTTTTCCATTAGATTTCGCGGGGAAATTTACCCATAATGCACCGCGCGGTTACGCTGACGGCGGTGGCGACGCCGATGGCGACGCCGACGCCGCTCAAGCCGGAAACGGGCGCCTAAGAGCTGCGCTCTAAAACAAAATCCTTTTCCCTTTTTTATTTTCATTTTTTTTTTCGGTTGCGGAATTGAAGCGACGGGCGCGCTTCCACAGCCGCACGGTCGGCACTTGCTGTGCGCAAGTGCATGGTCGCTCGGGACTTTGACGGCGTAACCGGGGATGGTCACCCCCCAGCAGGTTTGCTGCTTCTCCTATGACGTAGTGGATTTCATGGAATTTACTTTCTGCCCTCGCTTTTCTACTTTCCTTAGGAGCCTTACCGTTTGCTCTCGCGCGTCCTTTCCTCTCGCCCGTAGACTTTTTAATTACGTCAGTTCGCTATTCCGGCTTCTTTAACCTGTATCATGTTGTATATAGTGGGAACACGTACTTCCGGTTCCAAAGCGTTCTTCATCAGAAGGTTTGTTCGTGGGGATCGGAGGGGGCGGGTGGGGAGGAGGGAGGGTGCTGGGGGGGTGAAACGAGGGGAGGGGAAGGGCTGAGCATGAAAGGTGCAGAGAATTCGAGTTCTTACGTTCGCCACCCTATTGAAAATAACCCATCAGTCTTGATGTGTTATGGGACCCTCTTAGCCCTTCAAACCCTTTAGACCCCTCAACTATTTAGACCCCTCAACTATTTAGACCCGTCAACCCTTTAGACCCGTCAACCCTTTAGACCCGTCAACCCTTTAGACCCGTCAACCCTTTAGACCCGTCAACCCTTTAGACCCATAAACCCTTTAGACCCACAAACCCTTTAGACCCACAAACCCTTTAGACCTATCAACCCTTTAGACCCATTAGCCCCTCAGAAATTGAATTCTCTACTCCGTTTCATAATTATTGTAAAACACTGTCAAGGCTACTAACACGCGCATGTGGCTTCATCAAATGCAAAGGCGTGCACAAAGCTCATCATATAGTCACATGCTCGTGCCAGTAGCCTTGACAGCATTGCGTACCAAGTATGAAATGAAGTATAGGTGTCCACAAAACTCTCGAGCCAGGAATACAGCTTTAAAAAAGCTGCATGGCAGGCCCAGATGATTTCAAACAATTGACCAAGACAAGATTTCAACGTAGGATGAAAGCAAAATTTCATTTGAATGTTATACACAGAACAAACATTTGTACTGAAGTTGTAGGTCACACAACATAAAACGTGACCATATTCTAACGAATTGTTACAGCAAGTCGAGATAAACACAGAGATTTAGCGGCAGATGCTGCACGACGATGACCTAGCTAATTATAATGTAGGTAAGAACTCGGAACTCCTGCACTTTAAATTTCTGTTTGGGTTCAGTGCCACATGTTCAGAAACACACTATTTTCAGCACATTCACTACTATGCTGCAATGAGAAGGCATCATTCAGCACTGGTTTACTACAATAATGGATATCGCACTTTACGATGGCACCATCTCTTTAAAAACGATAAAAACCTAGTTTGTCATTCTGGAATCTCACTAAAAAACAAGCTAACATGCAAAGTACAAAACACTAAATTGTCATCAATCAATATTCACGACCTGCACATTGGTTACCAAGCTCTGTTAAAATATTCATGACTGCTGTATCACATAAATTAATTACCATTAAAGGGGCATTGAAGTGATTATCACAGACGTTTGGGCTATCTGGTGTACAGACAGAATTGAAAACAAAACAGTGCAAAGACAAGGACAAAGTGAAAAGTCACCGACAGGACACCAACACTGACTCTCATCAAAAGATGTACGTTAGCATTCAATATAAATAGCACACATGCCATACCAAATAAATGAAGGAAAAAAATAAATACATATCACGTGTTCAATACAAGATTGTCACTGATTTGCCCTCCGCTTTTACTATTGCCGCTCTTTATCTGAGAGCACCACTATTTACAAATGTACAGTTGCTATTAGCGGCGAGATGTTTTGGTGGAGCCCTCCTATGGTTCCCCCTTGTGACGTCATTACCTTGCGAACAACAAGTTCGATGGTGTTTGTAAATAGCGTGGTGGAAGCCTGAAATCATAGCGCTCTTAAAGCAACACTGCCAACACCGTCGAAATTAAAGTTCTTTCATTCCTCTTATTTCCGTCGATGGTATACCCTTTCCGACGTCATAGTCAGCTTTTGGGCCAATCGTGGAAGGACGCTTTCGGTCGCGCACGTCGCCAATAAAGAGGTCCATCTTACAATCAGTCCCGTTGACGGTAGGTTTGAAGTTGGCCTCAGCCTTCAGGCTCTTGGTCGATATTGGAAGGTCGTCACTTCCGCACCTGGTCAGTTCACTGTCGAAGTCCGTCGCTTCGGGAATTGGTCAGCTCACCGTCGAAGTTTTTCGCCTCGGGAATTGGTCAGCTCACCGTCGAAGTCCGTCGCTTCGGGAATTGGTCTGCTCACCGTCAAAGTCCGTCGCCTCGAGAATTGGTCAGCTCACCCTCGATGTCCGTCGCTTCGGGAATGGGTCAGCTCACCGTCGAAGTCCGTCGCTTCGGGAATTGGTCAGCTCACCGTCGAAACTGTAGTTCAGGCCGCCGGTGCCTGCTCGAAGCATCGCCAAGCACAGCCGGTCGCTTGTTCGGATCGCAGCCAAATAGTCCTTGCCGCGAGCTCTTCCAGCCCGAGCCTCTCCGCTCTTCTTCCACCTCTACTTCTTCAACAGCTTACAGCATGAAAACCCTTTAAGATTCTGACGTGGCCCAGGGGGATCGGTGGCCGAGTGGGCTAAAGCGCACACCCAGCTCGACGCGCGTGGAGCGAAAGCTCGCGCTGCAGAACCCAGGGATCCTGGATTCGAGCCACACCCCTGCCCGTTTCGATCTGGATGAGCATCGTACGGGCGTGCGGTCGTGTATCACTACTGCGTGGTGCACGTTAAAGATCCCAGGCTAGCGGTTGTACCGCATTGGCTAAATTGCTCATCTACAGTGGGTAACAATGTCGCCATGCCCTGGCAGACTAAACTCCTGCTGTATAAACAACTAACGACTAATTTTTGACGTGGCCCAGAACGCATCAAGGAATCCTAAAGGGACCTTCAAACCTTTTAAGAAATCTCTGTAGTCCCCCTTAGACCTTTCAAAAGGTTTTGACGCGCCCTTTAGACTTTCTTAAAGGGTACGTCAAACCCATCAAAACGTTTTGATGGGGCCTTTAGACTCTCTTAAGGGGTACATCAAACCTGTTAAAAATTCTTGAAGGCCCCCTCAAACCCTTTAAAAAGTTTTGAAGGGCCCTTTAGACTTATTTTCAGTAGGGCACTGCGATTCTTTGCTCGTAGGGATCTACCACGTTGAGGTTTTGGTCGCCAATCACAACAATACAGTTCGACGGAGACTTGTAGCCACTGAAATACAAACAACTAATCAAGAGCCGAAAAGCTCCAGTATGCTGTGGAAGTTCGATAGGTTTCCACATTTCTGCTAAAATGAAATATTGTCACGTATGACAAGTGAAACAAAGCAAATATCTGAAAGAACTGAAACGTTTAATGAGGCCAACTTGCGCAAAAAATATAAGGGAAAAGAAAGATGACAGCGAAGCGTCGCGAGCGTCGAAGCCGGCGAATGAGCAGAGTCGAACGCTGGGGCAAAAACTGACTCGACAAGGTCGCGGGCGGCCTCTTATCTACGGTGAGTCACTATCTCGAAGATTCGGCAGATAAGGTTCGAGAGTAGCGCGCTCGGGGCGAGTGTGAACACGCACTTTCTAGAACAACAAAAGCAGGGATAAACGATAGAAGTTATGTCCGCAGCAAGAATAAACGAGAACCTTCTACAAGTCCGTGACCCTCCGCGGGGCAATATACTGACTTCTCTTATCGCGACCCCAACCATAATACCGGTGGCAGCCGTGGCAACGCTCATGTTTCCGGTGAAGATGTCTTGTCTGTGTGCCGGCCACGTGTTCCGTTATTTTTTGCAAATAAATGGCCAATTTTTCGTCAGTGTCTTAGGGCC